CATGCCAGAAGGACTGGAAGGTTTTCTTTGACGTTTTAGTTTCCCTGATCAGTACTGACTCTTCTGTCTTCAATCTGCTATCAAAATGGGCAACTCACCCAATTTTCCCTTCTTCCAAGTGTCAGCTCTCTCCAGAATCTTTATTTTTGCTCACTTTCCAATGCCTTTAGGTTACCTGTTCTTGTATTTTGTCTAGAGTTTATAGAATGAGAGACTAAGAAAGTGATTAGATGGGCCTCCCGGTGGCTCAGCGGTTGAGCGCTGGGCTGTGAAGCTGCCTGCAGCCTCTGCAGCACCAGTTCGATCCCCAGCCACCGGGAGAGGGTCCCACATGGTGCGCAGATCTCGCCTGCCTCACTCGCTGCTCCCCTCAGCAGTGTATCGTCAGTCTGCCTGTTCTGTTTCCCACTCTGGCTCTGGTGAATTCTCTCATCCTCATACTCTTCTGACTGTACCCGGTGCTTGTATAAATAAATAAAATAAATCTTTTTTTAAAAAAGAAAGTGATTAGAAGTTATGTGTACATAGATAGTGTTTTATTGATTGGTGAGGGTGGTAAGGTTTCAGGTCAAGTTTTCCATTGAAAACCCCCATATGGGACCTCCCCGGTGGCGCAGCGGTTGAGCGCTGGGTTGCGAAGCTGCCCGCGGCCTCTGCGGCGCCGGTTCGATCCCCGGCTGCTCCCCGGCCACCAGAGGAGGGTCCCACACGGCGCGCAGACCTCTCCTGCCGCCCGCTGCTCCCCTCAGCAGTGTACTTCGGTCCTTCTGCCTGCTCTGCTCCCCGCTCTGGCTCTGGTGAATTCTCTCACCCTCCCGCGCTTCTGACTGTACCCAGTGCATGTATAAACAAAACAAACAAGCAAATAAATAAAAAAAAAAAAAAAAGAAAACCCCCATATGTCTTTATCTACAAGTCTTTTCATTATTCAGTTTCTTCCAATCTTTCTGTCTACTTCCTGGGATGTAAACTTGTTGGGCTGGCAAGGTTTTCAATGCTGAAGAGGGAGGGATGGCTGGTTTCACTATTTATATGTAGGATTTCAGAATGGTGTTTCCCTCTCTTCATCGTTCAAATGTCCCAGATGATAACCTTACCCCTTTCAGCTGGAGAGTAGGTGGTACAGGAATCCAGCTGTCCAGGTAAAAGGGAGGGAATCCAAGGAACTGCCTTTATCTAATTTTCAAACATTTGCCCTTATTTCCAGCCCAACTCTCGCCTGTACCTTCTAGTATATCTAGTGGTGTTAAACCTTTGGAAGGTTTTGGGTGAGAACTGACTGACTTCTTTTAAGCTCAGCAACCTACCTCCCACCTTCTATAAAGGTTTTGCTCATGGAAGGAAAACAATGCCACTCTTTTCTTCTTTTGGCTTCCCTAATCTTTCCAAGTGATTTTTTTAGGGAACCTCCCCCATCAACTACCACTCTCTTTGAGGAGGGCAAATCACTCTCTTCATTACTAAGAGGATGGGAGGGTGAAGACGCAGGGTAAAGGGTGAAAGGAGGATAAAGACTAGACACAAAGGTCAGTGACTGCTGATCTCCTTTCCCATCCTTCAAGACACTGTGGTGTGGGGAAGAGGAGGACTGGCACTTGGAATAGGCTTAGTTTTCCTCCTTATTTAAACATGAGGGCAAGAGTCTGGAAGCACTTATTGGTGGCTCATTTTTGGCAGTCCTCTTTCAAAACTTGGGGGTACTTAGCATTTCTAGCCACCAACTTTGCCTTAATTGCTTTAATTGCAATTCCAGGACAAGAGGGAAAAGTTGTACTCAAAAACTGCATAATGTTCCTTTGTATGGGTGTCTAAAAGTACTTAACTAAATTTCTCATCCTTGGACATTTAGGCTCTTTTTCACTTTTTTGAAGTTAGAGCAGTATCACAATGACCATCGTTGTAGTCATTAACTATTATGATTTTCATAGATGAAATTTCTATGAGTGGAATAGTTGGGTGATATACATGTTTTTAATGCTTCCTTTGTATATATCCAGTGGCCCTGAAATCTGGAACCACTTTTAAACTCATCTCAGCAGTACACAAGAGGGGCCTTTCTCCCCACACCTAGGCTTGCTCTAGATATTTTCTTTTTCCATATCTCTTCTTTTTGAATAAAAGAATGACATATCATCATTTTATTATGTATTTGTTATTACTACTTAGAAAGAACAATTTTACATATACTTGTTGCCCGGTAAGCTAATCCTTCAGTCATTTTGCCTGTTCAGGTCCTCGGACAGGTTTTGTTTTTTTTTTCCATTGGGGCTTTAAATTTTTATCTGTTGGGAGTTTTTTATACATTGATAATATTAATCATGTGCAATTCATGTTGCCACTCTTTTTCCTGGTTTGATATATCTATTTGTTAATACTTCCTGTTATACAGAAAATTTCAATTTTTATGTATTCAGCAATTGGACTCTTAGTTTTCTCTTATGAAAATGGGGTAATAACACATAATACAGGGTAAGCTGGAAATATTATAGATAAAGTAACTGCTACACAGTAGTTACTCAACTTTAGTTTTGCTATTCCCTTTGTGACACATTGAAATATTTCAGAATCATCTAAAATTTTACTAGAATTGAAAAACATACTCAAAGATGTTTAGACTATACATGAACCTAGATAATAAATAGAACATGGACTCTTTTAGTCTTTTAGTCTAATATAGGCAGAAAGATTTTAATTGCTCTTTATGCTTTTCTAGTTTTCATCCTTAAAGATATTTAAGGATTGATTGATGTATCCTCTTAAGTAGGAAATATAAAGTCTTAGTGAGAAGACTTTTGTCTGGTAAGATCTTTGTTAAGGAATTATGACTACATTCATTAATAACATTGTTATTTATTTTATGTCAATATAGATATATCTATTAAGATTAAAACACACACTAGCCTCTGCTGCTTTTAAGACCACATGAGGATGAAGTTCCTGTCCTCAGCTCAGTAGTACTTGCTCTCTACAGTCAAGTACATGGTGATTTTAGGTGGATAAGTCTGCTAAATTGTTAGGTTACACAAATTGCTCTTATGAATAGTTATTTTTAGGTCACTTAACACCAATAAAATCTTTTACTTTGCACATTGTAACTTTTGAATCATTTTTATAACAGATTCTTATAAGGAACTATTGTAATAAAAATAATTTTAAAATTTTACATATAATCTCACTGTAAGTGAAATCACACATAGTAATTTCATGGATGATGTGGAAGAGGTGGTCCGTCTAAAGTCTAGTGAACCACATTTTAAGAATATAGTATATTAGAGCACACAGTAAAAAAGGAATCACCACTGAGGAAGTTTGGGTGCAATTGTTTATTTACCAAATATGTTTTTAGAAACATAACGGTCTACTGTCTTGGTTATATTTCAGAATTCAGTTCTCCCCACCTTTATTGGGTAACATGTCTATACCTAGGGAGAGATTAAGTTTCTGAACGTCAACAGACCTCCGGGGTGGCTGGTATTCCTCTGTCCTTCCTGCAGTCTTTAGAAAGTAGCTCCCTTCTCCAACAGTTACGTTGGCACACCACCACTGCAAGGCGGGGATTATCTAGGTGAATCGCCAACAAAGATGGGAGCAAAGCTATCTAAACATACATGTGCTTGTTTGGGCATCGAGATTTACATTAGCTTGTGTGATAATTATACCTTAAAAAATGTTTTCCTGTATAATTTCTCTTCTGTAGTGTCATTTTATTATTTTAATATGGCTCTATTCAAATATCATAAGAGGCTTTATTATGTAAGTCAAATGACATTTCCTCTGCAAAGTTAACCATTGCAAATGATGTTTTTAAGATTCTTTGAGTTAAAGTGATTACTTGGAATTCTAAGCCCTTCATAATGACTCCGTGCTTTGTTGTGTTTTAAAGGCATTTTCTGTATAACAGTTGAAGAATTAGATGCTTGTGTATTAAATGCCTGCCACCTGATAATGATCTCAAGGGAAAAATTAGTTTGGTTTAGTTTAAGCTTAATCTAAAGAAAGAGGAATTTGCCATATTAGTTTTCAATAAGTCTTTATTAAGATGGATGTCCAGAATTGAGTTTAATTGCTTCCACACCTAGATAAGAGTGATTTGTGTGTCAGAATTAAGCATATTGGCAGGTCATCCTGGATAAGTTTGTATGTAGAGTGGAAGTAAACTTACATTTTCACTTGAAGTTTTTTTTTTTAATAGCATTTATTTCTTCTGCCAGTTCTTTTATTTTATTGACTGTTAATTTATCAACCACCCCCTTTAAAAAAAGTGAGAGGAAAAAGGTCATAGTATTATCACATTTATTTATGTGGGTTCCCCAAACCATATGGTGATTTCTAATTAGAATACAAAGGATTCCTTGATGAAACTAACTTCATAATAGCTGCAATGGTGGGCATCAAAAAAGGAGAGTTTTCTTGAATTTCCAACAAGGATATTTTTGAGAGAAGTGTGGTCTGTAATTGTCCTTATAGTAAAAGTCTGATAAAGTTATTGATGTGCAGATCAAGTTGGTATTTTGAAGTTAGTAATTTAATTCTGGATGTTTGATCTTCTCAGTCAGTGGCTTGACTTGATTTTTTTTAAAATGCAGCTTCAATATTTAATTTCACATGTACCCTCTCAGTAGAGATTTCAAAGGATACTTTTCTGGATGCTTGACTGCCTTGTCTATTTGCTCTTGTTTTGCATGCAAGAGAGAGCCAGAAGCCTTTCTTCTCATTGTGTACACATAGTATTAATGGATTTACTCTGCCTGTATCGTCTCATTACTGGAAACAGCCAGAAGCACAGAAGTCTTTCAGTGTATGCAAATAAGGCAGAATCATCTACCTGAGAGTTAATATTCTCTGCTTTTAAGTGTATTCTAAATCTAATGTTTGTATTTAGAGCATAACATCCTGTTCTCTTTTTTTTTATGGGCAAAAAGCTAAGCAGGCTCAGGCAGCTGTTTGATGTTGGCTTCAAGTGTTATTAATTTCATATTCTATTATTCTTTTCACTGTAGCACAAGTGAAGCTGATGTGGAGGCTGTCATGGATAAGTTGTTTGATGAGCTGGCTCAGAAACAAAATGATTGTACGTAAGTTAATTTCTCTTGAAAGAGAATACATTTAGAACACAATGCCCAATCTCCACTGACCAATTAATAAGTTCCATTGCTGTATATGGGTTGATGCCACGCTCAAGTGGCAGTCATTGTATCAGCATTTTGTCTAATTTATGTGTTGAATCATGTGCTATTATTCATCAAGCTATGCATTTCCTATCTGTAAGAGATGAATTTTATAGTAATTATCCAGACAAGATTGAGTCTTTGTTCATGTTCCCATAGTAACTAGACCAAGGATTCTAAAAGTGCAAGGCAGAGAGCTGCGGTTGAATAAAGCCTGTGGAACCGTTGCCGACTGCACATTTGAAGAGCTGTGTGAGAGAGTAAGTATCCAGACACGTCCAGACTCATTGGCCTTTTCACATGTTAAAATACTTCATATTTTCCGTCTGCCGGTTTCAGATTTTAAAATACTATTCACAGAGTCAGAACTGATTTAAAAGTCTCATTAAGAGAAATACTCATCTGTATGTGCCATGTGCTTTTTTATAGATGTTGGCACAAAATTTGCACTTAGGAGGACTCTAAAGCAAAATTAGAAATACAGAGAGAACTGTCAACTGTTTCTAGAAGCAAAACTAAAATCAATTTTAGGGATATTTTATAAAACTCAGATATAAAGAGAATTAAAAAATTGGGTTGAGGTTTTAGTATGCGAGGAAAGGAAGTTAAAATAATATACCACGATACAAGGAAGTAGGATGTAAGAGAAATTTCCATTCCTATTGCCCCTGTGTCATTGCCCTAATATCTGGCTAGCTTGGGCCATGGTCAAAGAAAGTGAATTTTTACAATAAATATATTTCATAATATCATTTTATATTATAGATGATATCAAACCGAGAAAAGATATGTATACATACATATTCGTATAGATGAGGAAGATCTTGATTACAGGCTCATTTTGGATATGAATTCTATCTTTTAAAAGCTATGGAATTCTCAGTGAATAGTCAGTGTATTTACTAACTGCAAATCTTGAGAAAAAATCCAAATTACACAAAACTTTAAGCATAATTCCTCAATTGCCATGCAGTTTTCAGTCATTCATATTTCTAGCTGGCCTCTGATTTATCTTGACTTTTAGGTAATGACAGAATTTTTCAGTAAAGGGCACGAGAAGGTCTTTCTTTATACCTCCTAGCCATTTTATGAGTACTTTTCTTACAAGCTAATAACTTAATTACTTCTAACCAATATAAATTTGTAACTTTTTAGACCAGAGAGATGAATCTAATCTACAATTATTATTACACAAATAAAATATTTCAAAACCAGTAAGGTTTAGAGTGAATTCTGATCCTCTGACAGGATGAGAATATTTGTCTCTATCAGTGAAAGTCTCCACACCCTTACTAGGTCAATTCATCCAAGTCCTAATAAACTAGTATCTCCACGCGAAGTTCTGATAAAGCTCCATTTAAGTTTTACTTACTTTGCCAGAGAAATAACCTTCAGAAAAGTCTTACATATCTAGGAGATGAAGTTCCTCCTCCATCCACAGAGGGGGGCTTTGTAAGGAAAGGGAAAAGACAGCCTTGTTATATCTCAGGATAGTAAGACAAAGGTGGCCTCTTGGAGCACATACTGTATATTTATATTTTGTATGTGTTCATTATTTCAGGAGATGTAACACCTGGAAAAGACTGCTAATCAGGGGCCAGAATCTTCATAGTCTACTGTATGGGGTTAGTGGGGAAGAGATGAACTGGATCTTTGTTTTAAAAAATGACAATAACTAATAAATAAGTAATTTTTTATCTTAACTAACAAAACTATGGATAATAGCAACTATGAACCCAATTCTTAGAATAAGCAGTGGACCAATTACATTTTAATTTTGCCATAACTTTCTTGACAGAAATCTTAGGATGGTAAAATAGTACATCCAGCACTTTATGATTTGGTTGCTCAGTTGCACAGAAAATAGTTTTTATAACAATATTTAAGAATATTATCAGTTTTTTCCCAATTCATGAATATTCCAATTTATTTTAAAGTTTTTATGTTATTATCCTTTATCCTTGTTGATTTTTTTTTCTTCTTGAAGTTGGCTTTATCTTCACACTAAGTGGTTTTTGATGGATAGGTTTTTTTTTAATTTATGTTATAGTTTTAATATCTGTATTGTATCTGAATTATAACTACAATGTTTACAATATCAGAGAATCACTGAATGACAAAATACGCTCACGTGATTGGTTAGGTGAAGTACCGCTATTAAGCTGTGAGGGAGTTTGAGGAAGGGCTATATTTTCAAGTGGTCAGTTCATTTATGACTATTTTCTTAGTATGATGATTTTACTTTTTTTTCCAATCTTATAAATGTGACAATTTAGGTATTGAATACTTTCCATGAAGAGGATTCTTGAAATTATTTAGCTTCAGATATAGCCTAAAACTCTTAGTTAGCTACAGCAAACTTATGAGGTAGGCTCAATAGTTGCCTAAAACCATTCACTAAAGAAAAAACAAAATTCCCCACCCAAGGTGGAGAAGCAGACATCAGGTGTGGATCACCTTTTCTAGTTTTCTGAGACCCTTGAAGCTTGAGATTGACCCAACTATCATTTCTGACACCATCTTGAAAAAGACTTTTGCAAAGGAGTGGAAGGGTTGACAGTCTATAATGATTGTTTTTGAGCTGTGGTCCCTTCCAAGGAAAAATTATATACCATATATATGGTAGAAACTTGGCTGTAGCCCTTTGACTTATGTCATAGTGTAAAGCTAAAATGGCTGGGGCATTTCCCTCTTTTCTTCCCTCCCTAGTCACCTCTCCCCGCCCATGCTCTAAGCACATTTTGTCAGGTCTGAAATCATACAGGTTAACATCTAGCCTCTTGCTGTCTCTGGAATTTTCTTTCTTTGCAAATCTCTAATTTAATAACTTCATACACAGAGAAGCAGTCTCAACTGGGAGAGCTTATAACACCTGCATAGAAATAATTACCAACATTACCATGTGGTAGGCATCATTATAGTCACTTTATATGTATTAACTCATTTAATCTTTACAGTGGTGGGCACCATTAGTATCCCTGTTATAGGTGGATAAATTGAGAAACTGAGGCAACCAATAGTTAAAGTTACTTTTCCAAGATCATAAAACTAGTAAGTGGCAGCACCAGGGCTTAAACTCCTTAGTGGTGTGGGAATATTCTGTGCTTTTATATCACTACTCTATATCTGATAATGTCCTAGACAAGTTACATCAAATTGTACCCATTACATCAAATCCTTAATATAATTCTAGTTTGTCTTGAAATACACTCAGATACTTTGTAAATCTCTACATCTGAGCTCAGTTTTGAGCCTTGTATGGAGCATGATGTTAGCTGGGGAACAGATAGTCTCCAGTCTGAGGGCCTCCTCCATGTGGAAAAACTCACTTCTGAATTGTCCAGTTCATGTGCCTTGGCATGCCCACTCCCAGGGGCACATGTACTGACCCTTCCACCTACTGAAGGGTGTATGGGACCTCTCCCTCCAGGCTAGGGACCTCCAGCCTCAGGCAGCCTATTCCTTCTCTACTAAATAAAAATATCATTTTCTCTGCTTGCCATGATGTGAAAAATGTTGGGAAGGCCTGTTCGAGAGCACTGTAGGAGGGTAAAAGAGAATATATTTGGTGGTCTTTGTTTCTTGTCACTAACTGCCTATCAGAGCTGTGGTAAGGGAAAGTAAAACAAAGTCTTCTTTGTGGACATGGCATGAACTTTTCAGGTTTCTTATCTTACCTTGACACAGTCACTTGACTTAATGGAAGGGTAGTGAAGTCAGAAATATGTTTACATAAGTCAGTGTTTCTTAATGTGCAGGTCTCAGACTGTAGGGATCCCCAAGACCCTGTCAGAAGTCTTTCATGTCAAAATTCTTTGTACTAATACCAGGACACTATTTCCTTTTTCACTGTGGTGACATTTGCAGTAATGGCACAAAAGTAATATGGGTAAAATGCTGGGACCTTTAGCATGGATCAAAGCAGCAGCACCAAACCATAGCACATTCTTTACATTTCATGTGCAAATAAAAATGTAAAACCCCAGTTCCACGTAAGAATATCCCTCAAGAAGCAATAAACATGATTAACTTTGTTAAATCTCAACCCTTGGTAACACAGCTTTTATTATTCTTTGTGATGGCTGAAGTACACATAAAGCATTATGCTAGGTGTCAAATATGATGGTTTTCTGGAGGAAAGCACTTGTATATTTGTTTGAGCTGCTTGCTGAGCCAGACATTTTTTCATGTAACACTATTTTTTCTTGAAAAAATGAGTGACAGACTCATGTAACTATGGTTATTCAGGCAGGACAGACATTTTCTTATAATGTTTGACATTTTCTTGAAAATGAATGAGTACAACTGTCACTTCTAGGAAAACAACTAACAGTACTTGTTGCTAGTGACAAAATTTGAGCAAACAAATAAAAATTAGAGCTTTGGAAATTTGTTCCTGTTATCATGGCCTTGACAGTTTCATAATTCTTAAACATTTTTTTCTGATAGAATAGCTGGTAATATTCACAAATACAGTGTTTTGATATTGTATACTTAAATGTGTCAACACTTGAAAGACCTACTGTAACTCATTGAACCAGTATTTTTCAATAGCCAATGTATTTTGCAAAACCACAAATGGCAAAAGAGCCATTTGAAAAGCACAAGAAAAATTAATGTATTTTAAATTATCAGAATTTTAAAAATGTTCAGAGTACAAAGTGTAACCAAATACAAAAAATAAATACTGTTTTAGATTCTACATTGCCACCCACATTTTAAAAACTACTTCTAGTTAAGTTTAAAAAATTTTTAAATAGACTGTATTTTTCACATGAGTTTGATGTTTTCAGGAAAATTGAGAAAATAGTTCAGAGAATTTCCATGTGCTTCCAAATCCAGTTTCCTCTATTGTTAACATATTGATAGATTGAACTAATATTGATATATTATTATTAACCAAAGTCCATATTTTGTTCAGATTTTTCTTTGTTTTTATCCAATGTCCTTTTTCTGTTCTAGGGTCCCATCCAAGATGTCATCCAAGATTATCTCTAGTTGTTAAATCTCCGTAGGCCCCTCCTGGCTATAACAGTTTCTTACTCTCCTTTTTTATTTCCTTTTTATCACCTTGACAGTATTGAGGAGTACTGTCTGGCATTTTATAGAATGCCCATCAATTGGGATTTGTCTGATTTTTTTCTCATGATTACATGAAATTATAGCATTGGGAAGACCACAGAGGTCAAGTACCATTATCATCCTGTCATAGCAAAGGTACATACTATCAACATGACTTACCACTGTTGATATTGACCTT